GGCTCTTCTTGAAGAGTTCCTCCAAGGGTTCATCTAGGGCTTCTATGGAGTTCAGGGTTTTTACTGGGTTTTTGGTTTTGGGGTTGAACCCTAAACCCTAAACCCTAAACCAAAAACCCTAAAACCTAAACCCTAAACCCTACGCTTGATGGTTTCCTTTTCGTGGGGTTGGTGTGCTATAGACAGGACACTCAGGTCGTATGCAGATGCTGCCATAAGGTTGAAACCCTGCTTCAATCTAGCTAGTGTAGGGGCTTTAATCATTAGAATAGGGTGTTGGAGTATATTCTACCATAATCATAATAAGGAACCCTAGGGAATAATACAGGTAATTATTTAGACGTCTATATTGGTACCAAGCCCCTGTGGGTGTTGGCTCTTGTTTGCTTGTTGACTGGGCCTTGCGGACACATCTCTGCCGGATCTAAAAAGCACGTCCCCTAGTTTGGGATCCAATACTACTACTAAAGGGTACTTGATAGGAACCCCCCTTGACGGCACCTAAACCCCAAATCCTAATTGAACACTTATAGACTGCCTTAAAGGAACCCCTCAGGCATCTATAGGGGTGTATGGGTTTAGGGTTCCTTTAAGGCTTCCTCCTCGAGTTCCTTTAAGGGGTCAACCGAGAAGCTCATGTCTTCCCGAATAGGGACGAAGTGCTCCCAGGGCACGAGGCCTCTGCAGCTAAGCTTAGAAGGTCAGTGTAGGGTTCAAGATTTAGGGTAGCCCTAAACCCTAAACCCCAAAACCCCAATTTAGGGTTTAGGTTTCAGGGTTTAGGGTGCAGGGCTCAGGGTTCAGGTCAGGGTTGCGGGCTTAGGGTTTACGGTTTAGGGTTTAGGGTTTAGGGGGCTTAGAGATGAACAGACATGAAATGTTCGAGCTTCACGTTTTGCTAAGGTGTAAGAATTCAATACTTCGGGACTAGGATTGCCCCTCAAACTTATAAACCGTCTTCAATAATCTAGGGGCTGGGATTTTCGGATGAGGGATTTCAGCACGGAGTCGCAAGAAGTTTGACACAGGGCCTTCAGGAAGCTTCTGCAGTGCTGGACATGTCGTTCTTGGGCACCGTGTCCTCATTGACTGTTAAAGAGTGACTATAGGTGTTGGGCTCATGTCTTAGGGCAGCGGTTGAGTGTCCAAAACCCAAAAAGGTTAACCTGTTCAATTATAGTAGGATTACATAAAGCCCAAACAGTCCCAAACAGTTAAAGGTTACCTCCCCAGTTACTAACAACAGTTCTGAACAAATCTTCAAGCACTTTTTGCAAAAGGACAACAGTGGAACCATGTCCGAAGTCCTCGTCTACGCACTCCTCCTCCCACTACTACTACTACTACTACTACTACAACTACTACTACTACTACTACTACTACTACTGCTGCTACTACTACTACTACTACTACTAAGAATAAAAATAAGAATAATGATACTAGTACTCATAATCATAAGGAGTACTACCACCACCTTAAACCCCCAAACCCGAACGCCGGCACGCCTGGGATCCCATAAGGCAGCAGCGGTGTGATCTGCTTGAAGATCTGAGCTGCGCTACGGGTTTAGGGTTTACCTACAGTCTCAATTATAGTTCATTTTTGGGGATACCTTTTAAAATCCTTAATATATAAATGGTTAAACCAAAAAAAGTAAACCAAAAAGGGAACTACAATGTTACAATGGAGACGGTAGGGCTTGGGTTGTAAAAACTTGTGGATTTCGGAGGTTTGGGTGTCCGTTAAAGCTCAGAACTCGGAGCTTTTGGGTTTAGGGCTTCGAGGGCTGGGACTTCAGGGATTTGAGTTCCTAGGCTTTAGGGTTCGTGGCTTAAGGAGGTTCCTGATGTAGGCTTTAGGGTTTAGGGCTTAGGGTTTAGGGTTTGGGGGTTTAGGTTGCGGGTCGAGCACGCCTAGCATGTAGCGTTTGGGGCCTTAAGCGTCAGGGCCCCACTGCCCTGCAGCGTTTCGTGGGGTTTAAGCGTTTAGGGCTTCGGGCTTACGGTTACTAAGCCAAGTAGCGCTGAACGAAAATTGCGTGCGATTTTTGGAGTCACTTCCTGGTCTGCGGAGTCCATGCTGCCGTATTACAGTCCTATAGCTTCAGGTGGAGCTGCGATACTACAACAGCCGATAGCAGTGCTCCCGGACCCTAAACCCTAAATCCTAAACTCTAAACGCCTAAGCCCATAACCCCTAAACCCTAAACCCTAAACCCGAACTCCCTAAACCGTTTAGCCTAAACCCTAAACCCCCAAACCCATAGAGGCCTCAAAGCTTCGCCTCGGGTGATGGCTTCTACGCCAAAATGCAGCGCGTCTATATGTGGCGCTGTTTTAACGCGTACATTCCGGACCAGATGACAAAGAAAACGTTTACATCTACCTACCCATCTATCTATCTACCTATCTACCTGTCTGTCCAGTTATCCATCCATCCCTCCATCTATCTATCTGTACCTACCTATCTATCCATCCATCTGTACCTACCTGTCTATCTGTCGATCTATCTATCTGTCTGTGTTTGTGTAGTATACGTATGTATGTGTGTGTATATATATATATATTCCATAGCTGTGTGTGCGTGTGGTACGCAGCACTGCTGTAGGTATCTGCGTGCAAACATGTCCGGATTATCGAGTGTCTATGTATGCATACTCATATGAAGTTTCAGATGTGCGTCGAAAGTGTGTGTATGTGTAGTAGCACATGCAGACCTGTATGGTTCGAATGTGTATCTGCAAAAGAAGAAATCAGTCTCCAGCTGGAGGAGCTGCAAGTACGGCACCGTCTGAATGAATTGGACTCGGCGGGGTGGTATAATTTCGTATATCTCATTAAGGACAATAAGTGACTACTATTTCTCTTAATTCCGACCCCTATAATTCTTCAGGGTTGAGGATTCTGGATCTGCAGTGAGAAGCTGAAGGCTCTACTGCCGAAAACAGAGTATAAAGGTTTTTCTTGGCTTAAGAACCCCCCAGCACATGAACCAAACACATTCGACGATGCAACCCCTTTGGGGTATCAAAAATGCTCTTCAACGCCTTCCGAGACAGCCTGGCCAAAAGATCCTGTCAAAGCCGAAAACCGAAGCCTCAATCCCAAACTTAAACCCTAAACCCTGAACCCTAAACCCCAAACCGTTGCTGCTCTCCCTGCGTTTGAGGCTTCATGGTTTAAAACGGAACCCATGAGGCACGGGCGATGGATCCCGTCGACAGCATCCAGTAGATCCGGGTATCATCGATGGTCGAGCCGTCCTTGAGTGCTGGATTCAGGATCAACAGGTGCAGATTTGGTGTGGGCAGAGTCATAAGAACCAAAGTCTTTCAGAATATTAGCTATGAAATACTCTGACAATAGATACTACGGCAAGGAAATAGCAAGGATATATAGCAAAACACTGAGAGTTCCGTAAGCTGCGACACCAGAGTCTCGAGCAGGAGCGGTGTGCGTCTGGAGACGTCTTGCTTTGGGGTCTGTTCTAAGTGCACAGGATCTAACCCTAAAGCCCGAAATCCCGAAGAAGCCAAAATCCTATGCTCTACACTGGAGCCCTCACGCCCGTAACGTCCTAACCCTGATCAAAACCCCCGAGTCCTCAAAGCCAGCCATGGAAAGAACGAAACCCCAAAACTGAGCCTTAAAGACAAATCAAACTTAGAAGTCGAACGATGTTCTCCAAAAGTCTAACCGGTACGGCTAATGGACAAAATCCTGCATGACCTTATATACCTAAACAATGGGATTTATGGTACAATACTATATTTGGGTCATGCAGAATTTTGTCCATCAGCATAAAAGGGGTGTTTTGATCCTAAACCCTAAACCCTAAACCCTAAACCAAAAGTCTCACCAGTATCAGTTCCGAGACTCGGGTTCCTCAGGCAGTGAGTTACCATGTCTTGGGCTCCACGCGGCTGAAGGGTTTCCAAACCCTAAACCCTAAACCCTAAACCCTAAACCCTAAACCCTAAACCTTAGCCGTTCCGATTTGGGTCTCGGGGCTCCGCTGCCCTTGACGCATGAATCTAACCACCTTTGAGAAGTCCGACGACTCTGCAAGGCCAAAATAACACATGGAAAGTTTTGGCGGTACGTAAGGACAGCGAGTAGTAGAGCTGTGGTTCTAAACCCTAAACCCTAAACCCTAAACCTTCAGGGTTACTTAACTTCTACCGGCCTCCCTAAAGCCTACACCCTGAACCGCCCAGCGTCGGTGGATATGAGATACTTGTACTTCGTCTGCTCCGTCTTCTGTGAGAATTCCTCACGGCTTCTTCAATGCTTCCAGACTCCGGAGAGTTATGCATGGATTTCAGGATTAAGGCGATGAAGGCTTCTCCGTGACTCGGACTTCCTGTGGCTTTCGAGTTTTGGAGGATTGGGTTTCGGGGTTCTGGCCTAGGGGGCGTTGAGTCTTAGAGGTTGCAGTCGCACCCTGTTGACGCAATCACAACCTCCTTCTCTGCGCGCTTCGGGCTACGGGCTGTGATGTTCTGGGTCTCGGCTGTGGGGAACAGTGGCCGGCATGCATGCGTTCTGAAACGATTGTTTGCCATCTGCTCTGCATGAAAACGGCAGCCTTCAAAGCTGATACCTACACACCCTCTTCCGTAGACTCAAGAAGCAAAGCCAAGCAAGAAGCCTGGTTTGCACGGCTTATAATGAGAAACATGCAGCAATAAAGTCACGACAACGACAACAATCCGACTGCCGCAGGAGCGTTGCGGCCGCGCCCGCCGCGACGCAGCAGCAGCAGCCGCAGCAGCAGCAGCAGCAGCAGCAGCAGCAGCAGCAGCAGCAGCAGCAGCAGCAGCAACATGAACGGCTACAACAGACGAACACCGCCATGATTGCAATTCTGATTCAAGTGTGCAGCCAAAGAGATCTTACTGTACAAAAACCCTAAACCCTAAACCCCTTAAACCCCTAAACCCCTAAACCCCTAAACCCCTAAACCCTAAATCCCTAGGCTCAATGGGCCCAAGCTTCTTCCCAACGGAAGTACCGCCTGTGTACATTCCCGACTGGGCTGGAAACCTCTACTTACTCTTACAACTGGTTTAGGGTTTAGGGTTTAGGGTTTAGGGTTTAGGGTTTCAGATGGAGAAAGACCAGAGCAGCGACAGACGAGGAGACACGGCATCTACGACTCTCCCTACTCCTCTGCAAGTTTGTGCATGCAGGCATGCACGAATGATGACAGCAGAAGTACATATACATATGCAGCAATATGCATGTACAGATATACGGCCTGAAACTGAATCCCATAACCTGCAACTCTCGAAGCCTGTAACCTAAACCCCCAAAGCCCAACACCCCCCTTAAACCCTAAACCCGAAACCCGAAACAACCGGTCCGCGGCATAGCCCAAGTCCAGCAAGCGCTGCCGGATCCTGAGCACTCGTCTCGGCTTCAGAAAACCCTGAGAGTGTTGGACGTTTAGGGTTTAGGGTTTAGGGAGGAGTTTCGAAGGGGGTAGGAATTCGGGTTTAGATCTGTGAGGGCTTTGGGGCTTTATGAAAAGCTTCGCGTGCAACTAAGTTTTCCCTGGCAAGAGCTAGTATAGGCAATCATTTAATTTAGGCCCCTATATTAGGGTGAGTGTTTTCTGAAGACCCTGCTAACAACAGCAGCAGCTTACTAACACCTTCGGCGGCCCGAAATGATGCAAATGACGTTCTTAACTGCTCATTAGGGTTTAGGGTTTAGGGTTTAGGGTTTAGGGCTTTGGGCTTTGGGTTTAGGGTTTAGGTTTTAGGGTTTAGGGTTTAGGGTTTAGGGTTTAGGGTAACCAGGTATATGATGCAGGGTCCATGGTGCCGAGCCCGAATGTCAATGTAGGGGCCTTAATAATTGTCAATAGAGTCTTGGGGCCCTCTATACTATAAGTATAAAAAGGAACCCCGAAAAATAGTGTAGGTAATTATTTAGGCCCCTATATTAAACACTAAACCCTAAAACCCATAAACCCTTAAACCCTGAAGACGCTGCGTCCCCCTCACGTGAGACTTGCAACCGACATACATGCATACCTGAACACTACATAATTCGACTCTTAAGACGGCACCCTACGTTATAGTTTTGGAGCCCTAAGCCCAAACCCTAAAACCCTAAACCTTAAACCCTAAACCCTAAACCCAAAACTTAGTACCCACCGACAAAACTTTAATTAAGGCCCCTGAGCCTGATTATGGAACCCTCATAGAGCACTTAGAGGAACCCTTAAATTAAATGAACCCTACTCGGGTTTAGGGTTTAGGGGAGGTTATTCATTAAGGCCCCGAAAACCTGACTACAGACCCCACAAAGCAGCCCTTAAATGAACCCTACTCAAATAGTTCAACGCCCCTAATAACCTGATTACAGACTCTTATAAACCCCTAAACCCTAAACCCTAAACCCTAAACCAGAAAAGAGCCCGACGGCAAAAAACCTCGTTACAAAGCAGTGGGAAGGCGAGGTTGGACTCGATGAGCTCCAGGGGTTTAGGGTTTTAGGGTTTAGGGTTTAGGGTTTAGGGTTTTGGGTTAAGGGTTTAGGGTTTAGGGTTCAGAGTTTAGGGTTTAGGGTTTAGGTTTAGGGTGTAGCCTGCACTCTAACTTCTTCACTGCCTGCGAGAAGACCCACAACTCGAAGCACCACGACAGCCGAAACTACTTTTCAGAGAATCAAAACTGGGAGTCCCAAACCTTTCCGTGGGTAGTAGTAGTAGTAGTACTACTACTACTACTACTACTACTACTAGTAACTAGTACTAGGACTAGTACAAGGACTAGTACTAGTACTAGTAGGAGGTAAAGATCAGGGCCAAAAGCCTTGCAGCAACCTGTGTTATCTCAACATGTTTTACAGGACACACACACACTAAACCCTAAACTCTAAACCCTAAAATGCAAACCCTGTGAACCCTAAACCCTAAACTCTAAAACCTGAGACTCTAAAGCCTAAGCCCTAAACTCTAAACCCTAAGCTTCAGAACCCTAAATCCTAAAATCCTGAAACCTAAACCCTAAACCCTAAATCCTGAGACTCTAAGCCCTAAACTCTAAACCCTAAATCCTAAAATCCTGAAACCTAAACCTTAAGAACTCTGAGGACCAGGGGCGAATCGTACGAATCTGGGATGTATGCGAGCTTTGCGTCGATCAGCTGCCTCCCATGCTTTAGGGTTTTTTTTGAGGTGTACGGGTTCGGACTTTCGTATGCTTTAGGGTTTAGGGTTTAGAGTGTAGGAGTGCTCGTCCGGTTTTTGGATTTCGTTGTAGGGATTATCGGGTTTGGATTCAGGGTATTGGGTTTAAGGGTTTGCTTTTGGGGGCTTGTGGAAGCAAAGGTTTAAGTTTTGGAGCGGCCTTTGAGGAATTTTAGGGTTTGATATGGTTTCATGTGGGGGTTTCGCAAATAGGGGACCTTGATATCGTACCGTAAATAATGGATTATTAGGACCCCAGAATAAGGTATCCCTTATTTTCGAAAACTCTCAATATCGCTATAGTACTCGGACGACAACCCTTGCATGACTCCATGCTAAGAACTAGACAGGCCCCGTCCACAAGACTTCCGCCGAATGTTGTTTGGACGGGTGGAGGCTTCCGGAAATCGAGAAGACGAAGATGACGATACTGAGAAAAAACAAAATGGGATGTGAAAGCGTCGCTGCTGACTACACTGGCGACGATGGCGACGATGATGGGGACGATGGTAACGATGATGATAATGATGCTGGTGACGGTTCTTATGGCGACGACGATGGGTACCCTGGTTAGTAGCAGTGGCATTTCGCGCTGTCGTAGTAATAGCAGTAGTTCGTAGTTGTTGTTGTGGTAGAAGTAGTGACAGGAGCAGCAGCAGCGGCCGCGGCGGCAGCAGCAGCGGCAGTAGTCCTTGTCGTCATCGCAGTGATAGTACTAGTGAGAGTGGTCGGTTAATCAGAATAATGATAACAGTCATGGACTAGAAGAAACAGCATTAAAAGCATCACGGCTAGTATTGTGCAAAAAGTTCATACTACGACGAAGCATACAAAACTCAGCCGAGGTACGGAAATTGCCGAGAAAGCTCGCAAAGACGGATGCGGTTGTTGCGCTTGAAGGTGCTGCCTAAGGTCCACCGACAACTCAGACGCTGTAATCCTGCCATGAGCGTCCAAACTAAGTACCGCAGTAAAATTGAGGAATTATTCGGCCTTGGGATAGCACCCGTTGGACCTATGGTTAGTGTTTGACGGAGTAGAAGATTCTTTTGTATTTTGGCTATGCATTAAGCTGCACGAGACCGTGACCCAAATTTCGCCGACTCCTGAACCTAGCAAGCACGGAACCGCAACAGCGGAAACCTGGGGCATTGAAGCCTCAAACCCCAGCTTATCAGCACCGCATCTGGTGGTCAACAATCTGCATCTGCACATCGTTGAATCTAGAGTACTCTAGACTCTAGACCCTCATCTCGAAACCAAATTTAAGCTGGAGCCCTTAGCCTGTGGGATGTCGGGTACTGTGGGGGCATGAATAGTTACAACGGTGCTCTCGATGAAAAACATGTTTGCGAGAGAGACTAAGGGGAGTCATTCAGACCACCATCTTTGGATCTTTATTAGTAAAGGACCCTGGGTTCAGGGTTTAGGGTTTAGGGTTCGTATTTAGGAACCCTAAGAAATAAGAAATAGTCTTAATCAATTATGTATTTAGGCTTCTACACTATGCACCTTCGAGGCTCAGATGTGCGGCGGCTCCACATTTCGCTACGAAGGCACAAAGGGGTCATGAGCCAAATGGCTCTTCTTTACGGTTCCGGGTTTCGGGGTTTAGGATTCCTGTTGCAAAGAGATGTCACATTCAGGATGTGGAAGGGGCCCAAAAAACAAATAGCTAACATCGATGCACTGCGTCAAAATAAGGCCTTGAACAAGCACAAAAAACGTGCAGACGAAGCCAACTCAGCCAGACTAGCTTACAGAACATCCAAGATGGTACCCGAAACCGTGGAGACCGAACATCAACTATCAAATGCCAACCAGGTCTCTGTTGGTCCAGTGAGCTTGGCAGTGGCAGCGTGGCGTCAGTGGCAGGCGTCCTGTCAACCAGTCCCAATTAAGGGTTTAGTGTATACCTTGCAGGGTTGGGTACAGGATCAAATAAGGATTCCCAAGACCAGCCGAAACTTCATTTCACATAACCGTTGTAGGTTGGATATGACCACCGAGTACATGATCATACAGATGTGGCCGGCACTAGAACAATAACAAGGAAGCGAAAATAATCCGAATGCTTATTGACGCTGTGTTGCTGACATCGAAACACGAAGACCCGAAGCCCAATGACGAAACTCTGCAATTCAATACCATAAACCAGTGCGTTCTGGATGTTACATTGGGTCTAGGGCTTACAGGAGTTTAGGGTTTAGGGTTTAGGGTACCCTAAACCCTAAACCCTAAACCCTAAACCCTAAACCCTAAACCCTAAACCCTAAACCCTTTTCCCTAAACCCTAACGTCAATGAGTCAAAGCTCCTCCTCCTGGCTGCGGAGCAGTAGCCGCCATTTCCTTCCGAGGAAAATACGTTTGAAGCTCTCCGCTACCGCTACTTGGTGGCCCAGGGGACTTAGTAAGTCGGTTAAAGTAGGGTTATAATTGGGGTAACTCCAGTTAGGGTACTTATAACTCTACTTATAACCTACTTAGTAAGTCCCCTGGGCCTCCAAGTAGCGTTGCCTCAGTGCTTGTGGCTGAGGGCTCTCATGCCCAAACACAATCTGCAGCCTCAAGACCCCAAACCCTAAATCCTAAACCGTAAGGTGCGGTGCATGGAGGCCAGGTTTTGTTCAACAGTTATGACCGCAACAGAGTCACAACGCCAGGATCGAATCTCACACACACACACACACACACGCGTGCGCGCGTATCCGTGAAGCCCCTAAACACCTTAGGCTTGAAACCCTAATCCATACAACCTGGAATCAAAAAACCCACCCTTAAATCAGTCTGAAAGCCTAAACCGCAAACCAAACATTGCAGACGGGTGTCCAGCAGCGTGGAGCCGTTAAACTTGCGCCAGCGTGCTGGCCACTCCGCCCTGCCCAGAATCAGATCCATGTCGGGTGCTAAAGGGGGTGAGGCCGAGAGCATGTGTTTCAACCCTTGACCTTCAAAGTTCTAAAGTCTCTGGCCTAGGGTTGGGTTACGTTTTGATGGCGTCATGATGTCCGGTTTCTGAGCAGCATAGAATTAGAGGCTAGCTTGTTGCAGAACTCGATGCTATCGAGGTGAAACGCGTCCATAGATGCATGATGTAGGAACACTATGCTTCAGAGTTCATGGATGGCTAGGCAGATTTAAGATCAAGGCGGCATTTGCTGAATAGCCCTGAATCAGGACATGCCCATACAACCCGGTCTAGGGTGTACGGTCGGGGACTTAATATTTGGACTACGGTTTTGGGGGGCTCCTTATTATAACTATAGTAGAATATACCCCCAACCCTCTTCTAATTATTAAGGCCCCCCCTAAACCCTAAACCCTAAACCCTAAACCCTAAACAGGTCCCAAGGTGAATCCCTCAGTCAATGCCTTTTCATTTACCTCACGACCTTTCCACCCCGAAAGGTCAAACATGCGACAATAAGGGTAATGGTCTTGAGCATAAGGTTCTTTGCAATGTAATGTGGGGGCCTTAATAGTTAGCATAGGTTTTCAGGGGTACCTTATCATATAATTGCAATCAATAAGGAACCATCAGGAATAATGTTGGCAATGATTTAGGCTTGTATGTTAGACGACCCCAGATAAAGGACCCCCCCGTATGTAGTACTGTTCTTCATACCCGAACTCCAGAAACCCCCAAACCCTCAAATTCGTAAACACTCAATAAGAAACCATAAATCCAAAACCCTGACACCCTACGTAAGCACCCCAAACCCTACCCTGAAAAAACGCAAACACCCCCTATTAAAACTTCATAAACCCCTTCAGGATCTTGAAACCCTGAACCCCTAAACCCTCCCCACGGGGATGTGCTGCCTTCCCGGAATGTGGCCACCACACTGACAAGAGTTAAAACTCCTCGGGGAGCGACTTGCACAAAGCAGGACCTACAGTCTAGGGCCTGGGGAGTTTGTGGTTTAGGGTTGAATACTTGGAGGGTCGGGGGACTTAGTAAGTGGGTAGTAAGTAGACTTATAAGTACCCTAGTAGGGATCCTAATTGGGGTTATGATACTTATAACTCTATAAAAATAACTACTTACTAAGTCCCCCGACCCTCCAAGTAGGGTTGTTTAGGGTTTACGGCTTTTAGGCTGGTCAGAGATTTAGGACGCGCGTTCCGACGTGATGTTGCTGCGGTTTCCATCAAACAGGGGGGGTGCCATATATGGAGTGGTCCATAGTTTAAGGGTGCGACTCTACTCAAGCTTATAGTCTCTAGCAAGGTCCGCTCTTTGCTCCGACTCCTAACCCAAACCCCTATCTTAACCTACCAGAACCTACTTTTTTGTAGGGTCCCTATAAATCCCATATTAGGGTTTATAATAAACACCTACAAGAAGGTGGGTTATGGTAGGTTAAGGTAGTCCCTAAACCCTAAACCGACTAAACCCAAAACCCAAAGGATGGTTTCTGCTGAACCGGGCTTAGGGTCGTCAGCCCAAAGTCCTGCAGGAAGGGCCCCACAGAACTGAGAGAAAGGCTCAGTTATGCCAGACTGGCACTACAGAGGTCCTTCATGGGTAGGTAGATAAGAGGATGCATCTGTATATTTCATTCAAAACGAACATCAATCAAAGGCGCTTGTACTTGTACCTCTTACCGCTCGTGAAAGCATGCTAACCTACAGCTTCCAAGGTAAAGCCCCAAAAGCCCTCGAAGAATCAAAGATCGCATCCCTCCTTGCTGCACCCTCAATCCTACTAAACCCTGAAATGTGAGGCCAGACTTCAGCCCAAGTGCCGCATCCCGCCACGCCAATAGAGCCGTGGCTCCTACTCTCGAGCTGGGGGCTAATTTGCCCATAGTCTCCATTGTAGTTCCTTTTTTGGTTTCACCAACTATATATTAAGGATCTTAAAAGGTATGCCCAAAAAGGAACTACAATGGAGACTACAGGTACCTGCAGAACCAAAACCCAGAACAAAGTCGCGTTTAGGGCTTCTGGGGTTGATTTGCCTTGCATACTTGGGTTTGCTTCAGTACTTGATGCGCCTTATACGGCAAACCCTGAACTACCTAACCCTATAAACGTTGACGTGTAAGCCCGAAACCCTAAACCCGAAAACCGCAAACCCTGGACCTTAAACCTACAACCCTGAACCCCGTGCCCTGCAGCCTATAAAGCCGGAATGAACCCTACAGACTGCGGACAATTGTTTCCATGGGCCCTCCAAACTTGAGGAATTTGTGCCCCGAATCTGTGGGCAGGACAGCACACGCACTCCGCACGACAACTGCCAGTGTCTAAATCATGAAGACCGAAGCAGAAACCCTGTGCGAGCGGGGCTGGCATAAATCATCGCCAGTGAAACCAAGCTCACCAAGGCCTGAATACAAACACCTCACCCTCAACTACAAAATCTAAAACCCGCCAAACTAAGTAAGTCAACACCCTGCAGCTTTAAAACCCTCGAGAAATCTGAATAATCAACTATCTTCTCCCTTGCCCTTCGATAGTCACAGTATAATGAGCTCCTTGGCCTGGCCTAATTCTTACGGCCACGCCAAGCCCCGACTGAGCGTGTGGGAGCCAGGATCACAACGCGTGCCGGTTTCCGAAACTTGGGGACCCCCACACAGAGCCTAAATACAAACACCCTAAATTCTGAACCCTGAACCCAACACAAAGCCTGAACAGCAGAATCCATGTCCTACGGACTCAAACCCTAAACCCCCCGACGGGGATGCTTCCTTCTCGGACCAAGTGGTTCGCGAGACTTCCTGCGCGATTTCTTGACTGTGCCACTGAGCCTTTAGGAGCAGTCGTCGTAGTAGCAGCAGTAGCAGCAGGAGCAGGAGCAGTAGTAGCAGTAATAGCAGCAGCA